GCTGCTGCTGCTGCTGCTGCTGCTGCTGCTGCTGCTGCTGGTGGTGTTTCTGTAGTCAAAGCCGAAGTCTGCTGCATGCGGCAGCAGCTCAGCAACAAGAGCAGCAGCAACAGCACAAGGAGCAATGGAGTGTATATACACCCCAACACTACTTCTATTCATTCTGCTGCTGCTTGCTGCTCGCAGCCGCAGCAGATAGTCTCGCTGCTGCAGCAGCCGAGCCCAGCACGGTAAACCCCCAAAAGTACACACGGGAACGGGCGGAGGAGCTGCACACAAACCACAAACCACAAACCCTAAACCCTAAACCCTAAACCCTGAAATATAAACCCTAAACCCTAAACCCTGAAATATAAACCCTAAACCCTAAACCCTGAAATATAAACCCTAAACCCTAAAATATAAAATCTAGAGTGTATATGTTGTGTGCACTCAGATATAGCTGTATAAGGGGGAAAATATTAAGAACATATAAGCTATAAGCGAATTGAGGGTTTAGGGTTTAGGGTTTAGGGTTTAGGGTTTAGGGTTTATACATCTTTCATTATCAACACAAAGGGCAGCAAAGGAGTCTCCTTTTTGTTCATTAGGATCATCATCGAGTGTTTGTTGCGGGTCCCCTTGCTGCTGTTGCTGTTGCTGCTGCTGCTGCTGCTGCTGCTGCTGCTGCTGCTGCTGCTGCTGCTGCTGCTGCATGCATGCACGCCTGCGCTGCGCTTCTTTCACCGCCTGCCACAAAGGACCACGACCCGCGTTCAGGGGGGCTGGTATATCCCCCACATAGCCAAACCCTAATATAAAGTTTCCGTCTCTCCCTACAGCATCAATGGGGTCAAAGAGGGTTTGCTGCTGCTGCAGTTTCTCTCTTATAAAACAACTCGACTGTATATACTCGCTGTTATATTCATTTCTATATACTATACTATTATGCATACTATGTATACAACGACGACGCCTCTTGCTGCTTATGCTGCTCATGCTGCTGCTGCTGCTGCTGCTGT